AATTAGCAAAATGCTAATTCAAACTAGTTTTTAGGTCTAGATGCACTAGTTCGAATTAGCTTAGTTCGAATTAACTAATTCGAATTAAGTTAGTTCGAATTAGTGCTGTAGTGTAGACATACCCTCTCTCTCTCTCTCTCTCTCTCTATTTTCCTGTTAGTCTCTGAGGTGCCGTGGGACTACTCGTTTTTCAAGTTATAGGCTAACATGGCACCCCCTCTGAGACCGCTCTGTTTACGCAGCTGTTCAAGTCAGGTGTCTCTCTCTCTCTCTCTCTCTCTCTATTTTCCTGTTAGTCTCTGAGGTGCCGTGGGACTACTCGTTTTTCAAGTTATAGGCTAACATGGCACCCCCTCTGAGACCGCTCTGTTTACGCAGCTGTTCAAGTCAGGTGTTTGCCCATCAGAAATGATGGGGAGAAACTAGTGGGGGCAGAAAAGAGTACCAAGAATGAGTCAAAGTTTGGAAAGTCTGCCTAAGCTGACCCAGTGACCTGCCCAGCTGGTTCCAGACAGGGGTGACCAAAGGACGGTGGAGAGGTGAGGCGGAGAAGAGAGGGGCCCAGCCGACCCTGTTACCTGGGCAGAAGACAAAGGACAGGGGACGGGATATTGGAGCTTCAGGGGGCTTCTGAACCGGACAGAGAGAGCAGGCAGAGCCCAACCGGCTGCAGGGGAGACTCAGAGGGCCTGGGCTGGGCTGGGCTGGGCTGGTTGAGCTGCGTTCAACACTCAGCAAACCCTCCTGTTTGGTGCAGGCCCGGACCCCCAGGAGAGAGCGGCCTCCCCTGGGAAGGGGCTGCGGCAGAGGAGGGGATTCTGCCTGGGGACTGGCAGGGGGAGTGTGGGCCTGACCTGGGAGCCGTGCCAGCCGCCCTGCGGAGAAGGGGTTAAGGCAGCGCTGCTGGAGCCAGCAGGGGGGCCGTGTAGAACACACCTCTCAGTCCGGGCGGCGCGATGAGTCACTCAGGTGCTATATAAAGGTCTGACCCAAGAAGTTCTTTGCATCCGCCTGTGCCAGGTGTTTGGAGTCCAGCCCCAGAGCCCGCCCTGCAAGGTGCCTCTGCTCATCAGCGGTGCTGCCGGTCTGTTCTCGCTGGCCCCGTCGTCCCCAGCGATGGATCCCAGGACAGCCCTCTGCCTCCTGCTCATGTGCATTGCCCCGGGTGAGTCGGCCGGAGCGTCCCTGCTGCTGATCCCCATGTTCCCTGGGCGCTGACAGAGGGGGCCTCCGGGAACCAGCGGGGAGGCTGGCCCTGGGAGAGGTGTCTTCACCCTCGTCATCGCTGCCCTGGCCTGGGGGGTGCCCAGGAGCCTGGGGACCCAGAGGCTGAGCTCTGCTTGAGAGGTGGGAGGTGAAGTAGAGAGTGGTCGGCTCTCGCCTTCGCCCTTCCTCCCGCCCCAGCCTTGCGCCGGAGGGGAGACCTGGGGGGTGCGTCTGGGGCTACACGCTGCCCCCAAGGTGGGAGGAGCCAGCCAACACCTTCCTCACCACTGCTGCCTGTGAGTGCGGGGTGGGGGGCGGCCTCCTGCTGTTGGCACACCCCACTGATCCCCCCAGCTGCCTACAGTCCCAGCTGGGGGACAGACACACAATCAGACAAACTCTCTGAAATAGACAGTAGAGAGCTGTTCCTTTCTCCTCCCTGCTGGCCCAATGGGGTTATAGCTCTCCCGGTCCCCATCTCTGGCCCCTTGCTGCCCCCTGTGGTCATTCTGCAGTATAACTGTCCTTCCTGCAAGACCCTCCCTTTCCATTTTATGAGAAACAGTCAAATTCCAGGCACATCCCATTTTCCTGACACAACCAACCACAGACCTTGCTTTAAGTGAGGAGAAGAAGACGCCGCCTACCAAACTGGTGTTCCTGGCACTTACCATGTAGGTGGAGCTCTGGAACAAGTAGACTCAACTCTTCTCCCCGCGTCAGGGAGTTGATCCTGCTATGGTGGAGTCATCAGGTGACGCTGTTCCACACTGTCTTAGCATATGAGCCAGTGTACAGTCTTGGCAGATATGCCTTGTTCGATTTGTGATGCAATTACTTTTATTGGGGGGGGGGGGCAGAGGCTGTTGCAAAGGGCAGGAAGTTTTGTCGCTCTCTGGGAAGTGGCACAAGGGAGAGGGTGAACCTGAGCACCCTGACAGAGGGGCTTAGAAGTGTGCTGTTTGTGACCACCTCTGTTCCCAGACTGCTGCACAAAATGTAGCCAAACAAGGTGTGGGTAGTAAGATTTCACTGATTTCTCTTGCAATGAGCAATTGGTGTAACACTTCCCTGCCTGTGGGATCAATGGGTGGGATAGGCTGCACTGATGTTTTATGCTCTTGCACACTCATTTCTCTTTCCTTTTCTTGATGCTAGGTGCGTACTCCCAGGGGAACTGTCTCTGCGCTCGTGGCTTTTGTGACGAAGGCTGGGTGCAGTATAAAGACTCCTGCTATAAGGCTGTGATGAAAGGGGCAAAATGGACAGACGCTGAGGCAAGTCTGACAGTAGGGCCTAGTGGAAAGAGCTTGGGAGACAGGAGAGCTGGCTTCTATTCCCAGCACTGGTTTGCTGGATGAGCTAGGGCCAGTCACTCCCCGTTTCTGGGCCTCAGTTTTCCCATCTGTAAAATGGGGATAAAGCTATTGATTTCCTTCACAAAGTGTTGGGAGACCTTTCAGAGCACTCCGCCTCTGCTCCCACCTTTTCCCCAGTGCACAGAGCGCTTGGCGGCCCCTGGCTTGGGATCATCATGGATAGTTTGATTGACAGTCACCTCCCCCCCTCCCCACACACACACACCTTTTTAGCATCACAGAGCAGCTTCTCTGCACTAGCACATACTCCTCAGCTCCTTAGAGTGAGGCCTGGAGAGGGAGCAGCCCTCTCTCACAGAGATGTCCCTTGGGACTTATGCTTAGGGAGTGTCTACACTGCCGTTAATAGACGCCCCCTCTCCCCCCAGCTCAGAAGACCAGGGCTCACGAGATGAAAAATAGCTTTGTGTCTGCTGGGGCCTGGGCTGGCATCTGGGCTCTGAAACCTTCCCCCCACTGGGAACTTGAACATCCGTGCTGCGTCCTCAACCGGCCCCTTGGACACGGCTTCGCTCCTCGGGGGCCTCTCTCCGTGTCCAGCAGCCAGGCTGCTGGAATTGCTGCTGTGGGTTGCCAGCTCGCTGGCCCTGACCTGCTGATGAGAAACAGCGGGCAGGAGTGTGACCAGCTGGGTATATTCGCTGAGCGGAGAGAGGCGGGGGTTAGGACGTGCTCCTGAGGGCGCGTTGCTAAGGGCTGGATTCTGGCCAGCTGTGGGAGTCGCCGTACGTTTTTAGATCCAGGGCCACGTGAGGGGGAATCTACCCCTAGAGAAGCAGCTTTGACCAGGGCTCCCTGTAAGCTGGGCATTTTTGCCTCCGCTCAGGAGAGACTCCAATGCTGCCCAGCGGATTAGCAGAGGGCCCACTGCTGAGTTTGGGTTTCTATTGGTGGTGCACATCCACCCACGCCTCAGTGCACATACACATTATTCTGCACATGGATGGAAAAGAATAGAGGGAATATCGAACCTGCAAACAACTCTGGGGGAATTTCCCAGCCTTTCCTATGGCCTCTGTCTGCTCTCCGCCTTGAAACACTCCTCTGAGGGCTGTTATTTCCCTCCCCCCAATAGCTCAGTATGTGCTCGGCTCAGGGGCATTTCTCTGTGGGTCTGTCTACAACACGACATGCCGTCTGTCCCCACGTGTCCAGGAATGTGCTGGGGACTGATAGCCAGCGTCCCCCTGCCTTGGGGATGGAGAAACCCAGGGAAAGTGGGGGGCGGAGGGCTGGAGGACACGCATAAGGGGTCTTTGCCATCTGGTTGGTAGAGCTCGTAGTGGCCCCCCCCCAGTAAGTTGTGGCGGATGGCAGCAATTAACGGCTCCCCACCCATCAGCTCAGCTCCACCCATCTTCCCAAGAGGCTCTGCACAGGCTGATATTCTGAAGCTGGACTCTTAAAGTGGGGGTGGCACAGATGCCCAAGTCATGGCCCTGCCCCTGTGTCCCCTCCTTTCCCACGCCCCAATGTTGCCTCTTCCCTCAAAGTCCGCTTCCTACCCCTCACCCCAGCCCCCTTCCCGGCACCTTGGCCTACCCTGGAAATGCTAGAATGGCGTCATGCAGCCGCGCTGCGGTAGCAGAGATATTGTTTATGGCCCTAGGAGAGATGCCTCTGACCAGTCCCCTCCCTGTGGGGGAAACCGAGCTAAGAAACGTGCCCAAGGCTACCTGGTGAGCCTGTGGCAGAGCTGGAAATTCAGCCCTTCTCTCTTCAAGGCTAGCCCTCTGCCTCAACAACAAGCCACCCCCCCCTCTGTCTAGGGCCCTGCCCCATGGACGGTGATTGCTTTCTGAGCGCTTTTGGAAGGGGTGCCGGTTGTAGCCAAATGTGAGTTTTTTCCCTTGTGGTGCCTTTTCAGATGGAATGTCAGAGCCAGGGCAAGTTTGCCCACCTGGCCTCCATCCACAGCGCGGAGGAGAATGACTTCATCTTTCTTCTGATGGGCAAGCTGCAGGATTACACCAAAGGGCAGGCGTACTGGATCGGCGGACACGACACGTTCAAGGTACCTGCCTGCCTCCTGCATCGGGCGCAACCCGGATTGCAGCCTCAGAGCAACCGCCAGGGAACTGGGGAAGGGGTGGGGGATCTGACTGGTATTGCTGTTTACACCAGGGTGTCATGGGCTTGCGATTGCAATCTGAAGCAGAGCAATGAGATTTTGCCAGGATTAGCCCCAGAGGGCCCCCATTCTACTCTTGGCTCTGCTGCTGGGATAGATAAGAACATAAGCACGGCCACACTGGGTCAGGCCAAAGATCCATCTACCCCAGTGTCCTGTCTGCCAACAGTGGCCAATACCAGATGCCCCCGAGAGAGGGAACACAACAGGTAATCCTCATGTGATCCCTCCCCTGTTGCCCATTTCCAGACAAACAGAGGCTAGGAACACCATTTCTGCCCATCCTGGCTAATAGCCATTGATGGACCTAACCTCCATGAATCTATCTAGCTCTTTTTTGATCCCTGTTAAAGCCTGGTCTTCACCACATCCTCTGGCAAGGAGTTCCACAGGTTAACTGTGCGCTGAGTGAAGAAAAATTTTCTTTTGTTTGTTTGTTTTAAACTTGCTGCCTATTCATTTCATTTGGTGACCCCTAGTTCTTCTATTGTGGGAATAAGTAAATAACTTTTCCTTATTCACTTTTTCCGCACCAGTCATGATTTTATAGACCTCTACCATATCCACCCTTAGTCTTCTCTTTTCGAAGATCAAAAAGTCTAAGTATTTTTAATCTCTCTTCATACGGGACCCGTTCTAAACCCCTAATCATGGAGGCAAATCACCAGTCTCGCCTTGTGCCTCAGTTTCCCCATTGTAAAATTAGGACAGTGCCACTGACCTGCTTTGTAGCTCATTCTGAGCTCTACTAACAAAAAGCATTAGGGAAGAGGTAAGTGTTACTCTCCCTGAGCTGCAAAGCATGCTGGGATACAGGGGGTAGAACTTTTTATTTCCACCTCCACACATCTGGCAGAGGGGACCTTCCACTGTAAGTACCAGGCCCTGCCGGCTGAGCTTGTGGGAGAGCTGGGGCTGGGCTGCGTGCGGGGAAGGCGTGTTCGGATCAGGTGCAGGTGACACTGGCTATCAGAGCTGGTTCCAAGCCAGGTTGTCACTGCTCCTTCTGCCAGCCTGACAGTCAGAAGGAAGGCCCGGCAGCTAGAGCCGTGCAGTGGGAATGGAGCATCCTGGGTCCTGGTCCTGTTTCTGCCACTGCTCCCATGTCACCTTGGTGCAGTCACTTAATCTAGCCTGTGCTTGGTTTTCCTATCTGTAGAATGGGGAGGGCCCTTCCCCACAGCCTAGGGGTGGTGTGCGGCTGACTCTGGCATTGCTGGAGGGGCTGCAATGAGGAAGGACATAGAGAATCGTACAGAAGAGCCTCTGCAGCTGGAGTTGTAGGGGCAGCTGAGGCGCTAGAGACAATGCTGATGCCTTAGCCGTGGCTGCTGCTCCATCTCCTCTCCCCCCAGCGCTCCTGGCCATTGGGTCCATCACTAACCCCTTGCTCTCTCCCCAGGAGGGATCCTTCGTGTGGACGGATGGTTCCGAATTCGATTTCCAGAATTATGGTCCAAGCCAGCCCTCGGGAGAAAACTACCTGGGCTCTTGGAGTGTGCAAAAAGGTGCGAGTGTTGTCCTGGGGCGGGGCTGGTGCCTGGGGGCTCTGTGTGGTCAGGACTGGCTCCGTAGCTCAACCCTCAGACTCTTGCCAGAAGGTCCTGTCCAGATTCAGTGCCTGAGAGTGGCTGGGAGGGGCGCCCCCCCGAGCATAAGCCCTCCTGGGTGGCTGACCGGTTTCTGGAGTTCCCCTCACCCGCTCAATATGCCAGGATCAGAGATCGGCACATGCACATAGGCTGGAGGAGCGACAACCCCCGAGCACTGCGACCCACTTACAAAGCAAAGGTCGCAAAGGGAGCAGTGAGTGGTCCCCTCGGGCTCCGATGGCCCCACATGTGGCCAGGGACACCCAAGCTATATGGGCGCTAGGGGAGCGTTTCACTCAGTCTGCACCAAAGAATCTGGCACTGTGAGAGGCAGGGCCGTCCTTAGGGTTAGGGGCCCTAGTCCGTGCTACTGAACTGGTCCCTCTCTGCCCAGCCCCAGACTGGAGAGGGGGGACGCCCCCTTATCTACCCAATGTCCCCTTTCCCTCCCCCTTACAATCCCCCTCCTACTTCCCTGATTTAGTTCTGGTTCTGGACTCCCAGCACTCCGGTCATCTGAAGAAGTGGGCTGTGCCCACGGAAGCTCATGATCCCATCGACATGTTTCGTTAGGCTAGAAAGTGCTACCAGACCCTTTGTTGGTTTTTAAGTTTTTTCATTTTTTAAGAAGGTGATTAAATGGCTTCGTTACCACCTGCATGGCTCTTTCACGGGTTCCGTGTTCTGCTAATTGGGCAGGCAGACCTTTATGCACATAAACGGCCACACTGGGTCAGACCAAAGGTCCATCTAGCCCACGGCCCTGTTTGACCACAGTGGGCAATGCCAGATGCCGCAGAGGGAGGGAACGCAACAGGGAATTGTCAGGTGAGAAACAGAGGCCAGGGAACCATTCCTACCCATCCTGGCAAATAGAGACTGATGGACCCAACCTCCATGAATCTAGCTAGCTCTTTTTTTGAACCCTGCTGAAGTCCTAGTCCCATCTTTTGGCAAGGAGTTCCACAGGTTAACTGTGCGCTGAGTGAAGAAAAACTCCCTTTTGTTTTACAAAAGTGGCTTCTCCACATGTAAGTTAACTTAAAGGAGGAGGCAGAGCCACAGAACAGGGATAAGAAGAGGCAGGTGGGTGAACATTAAGACACAGCCGTGTCCCAAATTTTCGGGTGCCCTACGTAGCTGTGTATTCTGCATGTGGGTAAGGATGGCTCTGGTGAGTCTTTCTATCTATCTATCTATCTATCCCCATACACCCCATCTATCTATCTATCTATCTATCTATCTATCTATCTATCTATCCCCATAAACACTCTCTGTCTCTGTCTCTCTCTCTCTGTCTCCCTCTCTCTGGCACCCCTGTGGTCCCTGCCCAGGAGAGGGCTCACATCACATGCCAATGACTTTCCAGTGTCCATTCCTGCCATTGGTAGGTTTGATCCTGGGCTGATTGCTCCTGGCTGTGTCTCTTGCAGGCCACATCACCTGGAATGATTTTGTCAACGATGCGTCCTTCCCGTTCGTTTGCAAATACCCCCTGCGGCACAGGTACCCTCCAGCCCCACCCCTGGGCGGGCAATTCCTCCCACGGGGGAACTCTAGCAGTAGTTGAAGGTGTCCCGGGGATGGTTCAGCCCCCACCCTCCCGGGCCCTGTTGCTATTTATATGGCAGCTGTGCTCCGACTGCGCCAGGCGCTGTACAAACGCGTAAGAAGATACGGTCTCTGTCCCAGCCTGCTCCATGTCCTGCCTGTGTCCTGCCTGCCCGCCCTAGAGAGCTTCATCTCCAGGCTCCTTTTCCCATGGGTGGGTAACTCCTGCAAGTCGGGCATCTTCTTCCCAGGCTGAGATCCACCACTCAGGCAGGAGCCGTTACCGACACTGGCTGCACTGCAACTGGGAAAGACCCCGTATCCCATTCCCAGCCCCCCTAAACCAGCCAGGTGGCTGCTCGGGGGCCAGGTTGGGATAGCACCTCTTACAGGGCAAAGGCCCCATGTCCTACCCCCAAAGCAACCAGGACCACACCCTGGGACCAGATCAGAACTGGAGCATCCTAGAGGGGAAAAGTCTCATGGGACCACTCCCCACCACTGCCAGTGAATGGCAGAGCAGAGCCACAAGGGGAAAGGTCCCCTCCGCATCTGGGCACCATAACCAACAGCTGTTTCTCTTCGCAGCTGCCGGGAGTTGTGATAGCAGGAAGTGGGGGACGACGCAGCCTGTATCGTGTGGCGGAGGCTGCGTCCCCTTCCTGCCCTGGAGCTGCACATCTGGAACCATTTACTGCTGTGCCCGGATTCCAGCTGCTGTCCTGGACAAAGGATGAGGCTCGGGGCTTGATGGGAATTAGGGGGGGAAACGATTCCTTTTCGAGCGAGCAGAAACAAGGTTTTAAACAGGATCCGGTGTGAATGGCGCCGTGGGGGGCAGGGCAGAGTCATGATGCGCCCAGAGAACGTTCTGCTTTGATTTTGGCCTGCCCCTTTCCTCCAGCCCCCTCCTCCAGGGATGCTGCCCAGGGGACTAGTAGGAATCTG